TATCAACTGCGGAGAGTACGGACACACGCAGTGGAAGTGTCAGAACGCTAAGGTTGCGCAAAAGGTTGCGCCAAAAGTGGGGGCAACTTATTCCCTGGCTTTTAGCTCGGGAAACGCGTAGGGTCAGTGGAAGTAGTAGCGGCTTCTACTCAAGATGAAGTGGGCATGATACCCTCCTCACTTCATGACAAGGCCGAAGCTAATGACTCCTTAGTCACCCCGCAGACGCATCTAGACCAAACTATGCTTTGTACGCTAGATGTGTCTGAGGCCTTAGAAGACTTAGAAGGCGAGTGGTCAAACAAGGACCCTCGCGAGTCTTGGATGGCGCTAAAGAACGGTCCTAGAGGGGAACATTTCGTGGTGGAAGTGGATGTAGGAGGCCGCAAATGTGGAGCCTTCATAGACAACGGATCCACGCGGAATTACATAAGTCGCGATTGTTTGGAAAGGCTGCACCTACAGGACCGGGTACGGCACCTTAGTAGACCAGTAGCATCTACTTTGGCCAACAAAGAGCGCATGATTGTCACAGACTACATCAAGGACGTAGTCTGTACCTTCTCCTATGGAGGAGGAGAGCTTAACCATAAGATCTCGTTCTTGGTTAGCGACGACTTGCCATTCGAAATGTTGTTAGGCATGTACTACCTCGAAGTTGCTAAGCCCCAGTTCGACTGGGATAAGAAGGTGCTTAAGCATAAGTTGCCCGATGGCCGAATTGTCAGATTGACTAAGTTCAAGGCCAGCAGTATTGTACATACCTATGGCTGCTTGTGTGCATCAGCATTCTATAACTACTACAAGCAAAACCAAGAGGAAGGTATGTACCTCGTTTAGGTCTCTTAGAAAGGGGAGGCCGTTAAGACACCCCCAAAGATAGAAAGCGTCGTTGCTAAGTTCCCCGATCTGTTCGAGGAGCCCTCAGGAGTTGTTGATAGGGAAGTCGTCCACGCTATAGAAATCATTCCAGGGAGTAAGACCCCAAAGGGAAGGATCTATAGGATGGCCCCTGCCGAGTTAGATGAACTTCGGAAGCAACTCAAGGAGCTGACAGAGAAGGGATGGATTCGGCCTAGTACTTCCCCTGACGGATCACCTGTGCTATTCGTACCAAAGAAGGGGGGTACTTTGAGGATGTGCATTGATTATAGGGGGCTCAATGCCATCACGGTGAAAAACGCAGAGCCTCTACCTCGCATAGACGACCTATTGGATAGGGTGCAGGGATGCAAGTACTATATAAAGATAGACTTGAAATCCGGATATCACCAGATCGCAATAAGACCTGAGGACCAACACAAGACAACTTTTGAGACTAGATATGGTCTGTATGAGTTTGTAGTGATGCCTTTCGGTCTTTGTAATGTGCCGGGTACGTTCCAGCACGCTATGAATCGGATCTTTCATGACCATTTAGATAAGTTTGTCGTGGTCTACTTAGACGACATTCTGATCTTTAGTAAGTCTGCCGAGGAGCACGCACAGCATGTTGAGACAGTTCTCTCACTCCTGCGACAGCACAAGTATAAGGTCAACTTAGAGAAGAGCGAGTTTGGCCGCACTAAGATACTATACTTGGGTCATGAAGTATCCGCGGAGGGGATTAGGCCGGAAGATGCGAAGGTGGCTAGTATTCGAGACTGGCTACGACCTCAGACAGTCACTGAGGTCAGATCATTCTTAGGAATGTGCGGCTACAATAGGAACTTCGTCAAGAACTATTCTACAGTCGCCTCTCCTTTGACTGATCTAACTCGACTTGACACACCGTGGGACTGAAGTGATGAGTGCGAGGGTACTTTCAAGAGATTGAAGCATGCACTCATGAATCATGAAGTTCTCATGGTTCCCGATCCGTAGAAGCCATTCATAGTGACCACTGACGCAAGCCAATAYKRCATTGGCGSAGTGCTGGCTCAGYAGGATGGSAAAAAGTYKAGACCGATTGAGTACATGAGTAAGAAGATGCCATCGCAGAAGTTGGCTAAGTCCACCTACGAAAGGGAACTCTATGCTCTCTACAAGGCACTTGTCCATTGGAGACAATTCCTTTTGGGAAGGTTCTTCTATCTGAGGACTGATCATCAGACCCTCAAATGGATCAAGACTCAACCGACTCTTTCTGATGCACTCAAGCGATGGATTGAGGTCATAGACCAATATGACTTCAAGCTTGAGTACCTGAAGGGAGAGTATAACAAGGTTGCAGACGCGCTATCCCGTAGAGCAGACTACCTAGGTGCGCTAGTTTCTGAATTTGGCGTATCTAATGAAGTAACTCAATCATTGGTGGGAGCCTATCAGGAAGACCCTGTTACGATGGACATCATCCGCAAACTTCAGGCAAAAAACAAGGCCACAGAAAGTGAGTTTGTGATGGTGGATGGGTTAATCTATCTTGATAAGGCCGGAGTAAAGAGATTGGTAGTTTCATCTAGTGAACAGTTGCGTAGTTTATTTTTAGGAGAATGTCGTGACACAACTGGGCACTTTGGCTACAAGAAGACGAGTGCTAACTTAGTACAGCGATTTTGGTGGCCCAAAATGTTAGATGACGCGAAGAAGTATGTTGAGACCTGTCAGGTCTGTCAGCGGGACAAGCCGCGAACTCAAGCACCGCTTGGGTTATTGAAGCCGTTACCTATTCCTGATGGTCCAAGATTGAGTGTTTCCATGGATTTCATGGACACTCTTGTGACCAGCAAGAGTGGTAAGAGGCACATCTTCGTCATCATTGACTGATTCACCAAGTACGCTAGACTAATACCAATGCCAGAGACAGCCAGGACATAATACATCATCAAGTTGTTCAAGGACAACTGGGTAAGGGACTTTGGTTTACCAAAGACCATCATTAGTGACCGAGACGTCCGATTTACAAGTGAGCTGTGGATGAAGACTGCGGAACAGATGGGCAGTCAACTTCATTTGACTTCAGGGAATCATCCCGAAGCCAACGGACAAGCCGAACAGATGAATAGAGTTGTACAGCACTTGCCGAGGCATTACATCAAGCCCAGCCAGGATGACCGGGATGAGCAGTTACCTCTCATCGCCAGCCTGTACAACAATGCTATACATAGCAGTACCGACGTTAGTCCTAACCAGCTGCACTTAGGATGGAAGCCTAGATCAGCATTAGACTTCCTCCTACCTGAAAACCGGCCTGCTGCAACTCCACGCACACTTGAATACGGTGTGCAATATGAGAAGTTGTTGCAAGAGGCTGTTGAACATATGAAGAAGGCTCAGCAAGCCATGATTGCTTTCTGAGAATCAACATCGCAGGCAGTCCACATTTCAGGTAGGGGAACGTGTCTGGGTCAAGGCTAGTGAGTTAGGACAGGAATTCGAAATATCTCGCAAACTAATGCCYCAGTACTTTGGTCCCTGGGAAGTCTTGGATGTAGTGGGAGATGAAATGGATGGTCCTACGTACGTCATTCGTGTCCCTGGTCATCTACGCACTCACCCGGTYTTTCATGCCTCAAAGCTTGCACCTTCCGCTGAGACTGATCAATTCCCTTCGAGGAGATCGATGCTACCCCCAACCATGGATGGACAAGTCGACATCGATGAAATTGTGGATCACAGGGATATGCCTGTTCCGAAGCCGCTGGGTCGAGGAAGACCTCCTAAACCCAAGAAGGAGTACCGGATCAGATTCAGGCATCATACGGATCCTAAAGAAGATCGGTGGTTTACGCGGGAGGAACTAATGGAAACAGCTCCTCAGGTGGTGACAGATTATGAACGGAAGCTAAAAGGGAAGGCACCTGTGAAGTAAGCATCTCAGCGGACTTTCGAAGCTAAGGGGGATGGAATGTGAGGATTGAGCCCTCAAGTAGGGGTCTTGCCGTGATGTACATGTTCTGGGCTAAGGCCCCAGCAAGCCTAGTGCCCGCCCTAACTGAAGGCGGGCCAGCAAATCAACAAGAGCCCTCTGTGCCAACATTTCACGAAGTGGGGTCTATACAGTTGCAGCACGCCAGTTGGTTGGAGTGCACCGAGTCTCGGATTTCAGCAAATGCTGAAATGCCCAGGGCCTCTGAGTTAGTTAGGCCCTGGGCACTCAAACGTGAGGCCGAMAATGCATGCTGGGTAGAGAGGCCGAAAATGCCMAAGGGAAATCGRCCCACTGTCTGAATCTGGCCGCAGGCCTTGATGAAGGAGGCGCAACTGCATTGCCCCGGGGCCCAACTGTATCGAGTTGGCTTCAGCCTCTGGGCCTCGGTCACAGGCTGAAGGGAGGCCGCCCACACGCTGCACTGGCATATAGGCAAGCAGTGCGAGGCAGCAGGGATCTTGGCCATTGCGGGCAATGCCGGCACGCTGCGCAAATGCAAGCTGCTGGCTGCTGCGCTGCGCTAAGAGGTAGTGCAAGGCAGGCATGCGCAAGGCGGTAGGGCGCGGCCTGTGCACTGGGCGCTTGGCGGCCATAGCTGGGCTGCAGAGGGCGCAGAGGGGTGAAGGGCGAAGGTGGTACTTCGGAGGTGAAGGGCGCTGTGTGGGTAACAAGGGAGAGTGTGGGGAAGAGGAGTGGAAGAGGACACGTACCTGGTGATGGTGGAGGTCCGCATTGGTGTTGACATCATCACTCGCTGGTAGTCAAGTTGTCTGGTTGCTGTTCATTGCTGTAGTTGTAGGATAGGCTGTAGAGTAGATAGGGYGCCTGGCGCCATTCACAAGAGAGAGCTACATTTGGGTTATGCTGTTGGTGTTGCCCTGTTGGGCATGGACATCGACTCACGATTCTTCTGTATCATTCTCAATGGGATGGTTACTCGGTTCCATGTGCTATCTGCTTTGGCTTTGAATACTTGGACTTCAGTGTGATTTTGCATTCTGGATTTCCGTGCTTCGTCCATACTCATGTTCCTTGCATTTTATTATTTTATGATTTTATTATTTTTTATGATTTTATGATTTTATGATTTTATTATTATTATCTTTTTTTTTTTTTTTTTTTT